AAACATTCAGCTTTCATATGCATATATTAAATTCATTCTATCTAGTATAGTTTTCGAGTAAATCAATGAAATGTAAAAACACTGCTTTTTCGAGCATTTTTTAAATTTTTCAATTCTTCAACTTTGAACGCGTATTACATCAATATGGAAAAGAGCACAGGAATGTATCTACACTTTATGTATCTTTATTGCTCATTGCTACTAATATTCGCGCCTCCCCTTAGACTAGTCCACGCCTCACAGTTTGGAAAATGCTGGCTTAATCAATAAGTATTTATTAATAAACGGAAACCAAGCCTCAAACTTCTAATGATATATTGAGCGTCTTCATCAGGCCGAAAACTAACTAAAAAGAGGAAATTTCAAGGCAATAGTAAGAAAGGATTTGGTAAATAAATTAAACCAAAAGTTGATATTTGACTCGATTTTAAATTTTTAATTTAAGAAATTTAATTTGCTTTTTTTTTTTCGATTTTAATTTCAATCGGTCTATTATATTGGTCTGATATAGACCAACCATTTTTCAAAACTATACCTCTTGATGATTTTATATATAAGCTGAACGTATACCAAGTTTGTATTTTAATTATTGAACAATTTATGTTTTAGAATCCGGTACCGACTAATAAACCTGGCGTGGAACCTAAGCGCCCACCTAGACCTGTGAACATAACGCAAATGATAAAACTGAGTCCTACCACGGCGAATACAATCAATGTATCCTGGGTCCATGACTTTGGTAAAGCTTATGCAATTACAGTCGCTCTCGTCCACAAGAGGAATTCGCTTGATTTACTACAGAGGATGAAAACACGCGGAGCCAAACAAAGTGATCACACGAGGGGCATGAGTAAGTTGTTTATTTCATTAATATAAATTTAATTAATAAAGATATTAATGTTGTTTTGTTTCAGTTAAAGAAAAATTAAACGAGGATGCTGACAGTGAAATAGCAACAACTTCGTTGCGAGTGTCTTTAATGTGTCCACTGGGTAAAATGAGAATGTCGAATCCTTGCAGAGCGAGGACGTGCCAGCATTTGCAATGCTTCGACGCGTATCTCTATTTGCAGATGAACGAACGTAAACCGACATGGAATTGCCCCGTGTGCGACAAACCGGCGCTCTATGATGACTTGGATATCGATGGGTAATTTGTGATTTGCGATCGTGCGTTTTCGCACTGTTTTCACTAACGTTTCAAATGCTTCAGGTACTTCCAAGAAGTGTTGAACTCTCCGCAATTGAATTCCGATATTAACGAAATTCAGCTGCACAAAGATGGATCGTGGAGTATTCAAGTGGAGACTAAGAAACCTGCGCCGGCGAAGGTAGTGAAAATGAATACTCTGGACGATTCAATTGAGATTATTTCAGATGACGTTGGTAAGTGGTACAATTTTCCATACTTTTAGTATTCTCGTTTACTACTGCAGGTTGAGTCCATAATTTATTACTTAGTAATAGAGGAAATACTTGTATTTGTCTTTGTGTTATTGCAGTATTTGAGAGAGAAGCGTAGATTGGTTACGGTATAATCGAATCTTCTCTTCTATGCTCATCTGTTGTATTTGTTCGTTGATTATTGGGTTTATAAAAGTTATAGGTGTACAAATGCATATAAAACGGTTGTGGGTTATTTTTTTCTCTTTTTCTCTCTCTCTGTGTGTGCGTGTGATCAAGTTGAATGATTTTATTACAAATGTTACTACTCAAAGGAAAATAATTGCAAAAAAAAAAACACTTAAAAGAACGATGACGATTTTTAAGAAGCGAACAAGAGTAATCGATATGTTTTGGTTGTATATATGTATTAAAGACTTCAAACATCTGTTACATTGTGCATCGTATCTCTTTAATAAATATATCTTTTATCCTTCTGTTAACCCAATAGTATTTCATCTGTAGACAAAAAACCTAATGCATAAAGTGTGAAGGGACAACTGCAGCACTTTGATAAGTACCCCACTAGTATTTCTTAAATATTATATTTCTACACAAAATTTCAGAGGTTATAACTCCAGGTAATGCGACGTCGACGACAACGGAGCGAACGGAGAAGACCGAAGCGGATGCTGCGGCGACGTCGGCTGAAAGTGCGCCAGTACCTCTAAAAGAGAAAAGCGTTGTTGATTTAACATTGTCTGATTCAGAGGACGACGAACCGTTGGCGAAGCGGAGGGCCCTAAATCCGAAACCGGATTCGACGATCAAATTTTCAGGTTAGTCGAGAAATTAACCACCCTCTCTTCTCCGAACAAAGATAAACGAGAAAAAAAAATAATCAAAGCAACACTCGCCGGACACAACGTACTATTGTTATTATTCGTTTGTTTTTCTTTTTGTTTATTTGTAGGGAACAAACGGTAGTGTTCAATAATCGTCGAAAACGAACGTTCTTTTATTTAAAAAAAAAATGGAGAGCTTGATCCGAGTTAAATGTGTAATTTAACGCTTGAACTATGTTTTACGTAACACGTCTCGTTTCGTCCGATCGAAAAGAAAGAAAAAAACTAAAGCAAACAAAATTATTATATAACAAGAAAGTAATATATTAAGGCATAATTGAAGCAAAAAACAAAACAACAAAAAAAAAACAATATACACATTAAATGTAATTATTTTCTAAATTAAAATATATTAAATTTTTCTACCAAAAATTGCATCGTGTTTCATTATTTTTATTATTATTTTTACTGATGTTTTTCTTGAGCTGCACCTTAAAAACTCTGTGAAAACAGTGAAAAAGAAAGATGTTATTATATATATATTTTTTTTTTTTTTT